AGTGAAGTGTCATGGCAGACGACCTGTAGATCCGCTGTGTGCTGACGGCCGGCAGGAATTGGTACGACTTGGCTCTTGCCAGCATTGAGGATCAGGCCTCGATCCTTCAGCCAGTCTGCAAGGATTGAAACAGAAGCAGATAAGACATCGGATACCTCCTGTGCTGTTCGCCGGCTACACGCGAGCGCAATGTCGTCCGCGAATTGAACTGACTCGGACTGGCCAACTACAGCGGGGACCTCGCGGGTGTAAAGGCTGAACAGAATGGGGCCCAGCACCGAACCTTGGGGGACACCACTCGTGCAAGCTGATATAGAGCTAGTCCGCGACCCCAGACAGACACGTTGAGTGCGACCGGATAGGTAGCTGGCGAACCAGTCCAAGGCAGTACCGGACACCCCAACACTGTGGAGATCTTGCAATAGCTTGTCATGTTGGACTTTATCGAAGGCTTTGGACATGTCTAACAGGCATACACCTGTGAATAGGCCCTGGTCCTTGGCTGTTAGGATGCGGTTTGACATAAGGACTAATGCGTCTTCAGTAGAGTGGCCACGCCTGAACGCAAACTGGGTTGTTGGTAACGATGCTGTTATGTCCAGGAAGGTGATGAGCTCCTTCTGAACCAACTTCTCTAGCAGCTTGGAGAGTATGGGTAGAAGGGATACAGGGCGGAAGTTAGTTGGCAGCGATGGATCACCAGATTTATGCAGTGGGATGACATTAGCTAGCTTGAACGCCGAGGGCACATGTCCGCACGACAGCGAGGCATTGAACAGGCTAGTGACAGACGGCGCCAAAACGTCAGAGCAGAGTTTGAGGACTGCCCCTGGTACGCCATCGCTGCCTGTTGCCTTCGCGGGATTAACTTGCTGGAGTAGCCGTTCAACAGCACTGATACTAACGTGTGAGAACTTGGGGAGGGAAGTGCGGGGTGGAGGCCCGAGGGGAGCAGACAACGTTTGCGGTCGACAGTCATCAGTAACCACCTTGTGGAAGGCTGAGGCGACATCTTCGATCGTACAAGAGGGTTCAACATGGGGACGGTCTCTACAGGTGACTTTGTTAATGGTACGCCAAAGCTTCTTGGTGTTTCCTGCGTTTGCTGTACATTGTCCCTGGAAGTAAGTGTTTCGCTTCTGTCGGTATGCATTTCTAGCTTCCGCACGGGCGCGCTTGAATGCAGTGTGGAGCGCAGCGTTTGCTTTGTCTCCCCGCCACCGCCTATGCAGCCGATTCTTGCGCTGGGTGAGCTGGAAGAGGTGCCGATCCGACCAGGGTGGTAGCTGCTTCCGCTTGGCAGAAGAACACTGGAGAGGAGCATGCTTGTCGAGGACCGCCCAGAGTTTGTAGTGCCAAATTGACCACATGTCATCAACTGTAGTGTTCGGAGGCCAGGTATCAAGGTGTGCTGCATCAAGGTCGTCTCGGAAATCAGGTATGTGGATTCTACGTACGTTGCGGAATGGTTTCCTCGAGTTACATGCTTGTCTGGGCACTTGAACGTGCAGGCCCAAGAGGACCTGAACGGCATCATGGTCGCTGAGGGTAGACGGCACTACGGCGCAACTCCGGGCATCATCGCAACTTGTGAGGATCAAATCGATGATCTTGCCATTGGGGCACTGGGGTGTGGTCCTAGTGGCAGTTGTGACCAGGTTTCTGAGGCCATAAGATGCTACCAAATCTGAGAAGCGCTGATAGTGCGGGGATGTTGTGCCGGCTCCGACATCGACATTGAAGTCTCCAAGCACAGTCATAGATGGTGTCAACAATGCTGCTTTATGAAGCGCTCCATCAAGTCTTTCCCAATAGGTGACTGTTGAGTCGGGCGGGCGGTACATGCAGCCTATGAGATGCTGGCGACCACGTCTGTTTACCGAAATCCAGGTGCCTTCAAGGCCGTCTACGTGGAGATCAGGACGGTGAGACACAGGGAGCGTTGATTTGTAGAAAATGCATACTCCTCCTCCCTGGCGGCCATAGCGGTCGCAGCGGACAACACAGTAACCAGGAATGTGGATCTCATTATCAGATATGGTGCTGTTCAACCACGTCTCGCAAAGGGCAATTACATCCCACATATGCAGGTTAATAAGGTCTTCTAGCTCTGCAACCTTGTGTCGAAGACTGCAGATGTTTAAGAAACCGACCCGAATCTCACCCAGTAGACGCAGCTGTGGTGCGGGGGGTTGCACAATAGCGCGAGGGAAAAATGAATTGGCATTGGGATTAAGAGTAAATGTGGTAATATTAGAGAAGGAAAGGGGGCATCCTGACATAAGACTGCACCAAACACAAAACAGAAAGTTTACTTATCTACTTAGCGGCTGCTTCTGCGGCTGTTCACTCGATCAGCCACTTGCTGCATCTCACGCGCTGAGGCTTGGTGTGCCCAGGCGACTTGAGGGTCCGGGGATGGGGGACGCGTGCCGGTCAGAACTTTGGGAGTGAACGTATGTTTTCCTGTTGCCAGGACAAAACCAGCCTCATCTGGAGACGAGTGGCCAGCTTTGCCACGTGCTTTGGGAAATGCAGGCATGACGGGTGTCGTGACCGGGGCCTGCAGGCGCGCTGGATGGGGCACAGGTATTTTGGACGGCAATGTTGTGCCTACAGGACGGGGTTGCTGGGATGAGACACCGCTCTCCTGTGGAGGCGACTGCTGACGCTGCAGCTCCTGCTGTGGAGGCGGCGAAGGCTGCTGCTGGCGCTCCTGGTCCTGCTGGGTGTCTACTTGTACGCATTCTGCATCGTGTTGCTGTTGCTGTTGGCTCATACTGACAGAGTGAACTGCATGTGCGTACGATCGGGCCCCAGTGCTGCTGGCTGCAGTCGCCTTTTTCGGGCAGTCTCTGGCCATGTGATCAGAAGCATGACAGCGAAAGCAGGTCTGCTGTTGCCCGCGGTGGTACGTGCGGTGCAATGTACGGGATATGCGTAGTTTGCACGGTACGGGTTTCTGGAGCACCACAAGTGCACGTCGAGTCCCCGTGAGGATTTTTACGCCCTCATGGGTGAGGCTTTCTCTCTCAATTATCCTGACAAGTTGCCCAAACTCAGCCAATGCTGAGGCAATGTGACCGTCATGCAGATTGGGTGCACAGCCATACACAAGGACATGACACGAAGACAGTGAGCCATCACCCGGCAGGACACTCACCCGCTCTCCTTTTAGTTCCAGTCCACTCTCCACGAGACGATTTCTAATGTCGAAATTGGACAGGGTGAGAACACACACCCCCGGCCGGCTCTGGAGATCGATCTGGATGACCAGAGTTAGCTCGTATCCGGAGGAAGCTATGGCCTTGGCAATGTCCAAGTGTTCGATGCTCCGTCGACAAGGAAAGTGGCAGTTTACAGTCTCCATCACAGGAGCTCCGAAATACTCAACTGCTCTCAAGCTCATATGTGCGATCAACAAAATCTCAATGCACTACAGAGACTAGACAGTGGGTGCAATACGCTCTCTATCTGAAGACGTGAACCATTATTTTTTTTGGAAAAGTTATACGTACACCTGAAACGTAATGAAGTTCAGGAATAGAGAGAGTGACTACAATACGCTCTCGACCTGATAATCAGATATAGTGATAACGTGTTAGAAGGTAACAGATCTACAGTCCCACCGTACCCTTCCGAAACGACTGTGGACCATTAATTTTTTGAGAAATTATACGTACACCTTAAACGTAATGAAGTAGAGAGAGTGACTACAATACGCTCTCGACCTGATAACGTGAGTACAAGACACTCTCCACCTGAAAACGTGTTAGTAGAAGGTAACTGGCAACATATCAATGGGTTGCCTTACCGTGGTCTAGAGGAGACGTCTTCGCAGCAATATTTTCCCTCCTGCGCATTCAGTCGGCGACGCGACAGCGTTTACTGGGCCGTTCCAGTTGCGGAAGACATTCGATTCATCGGGCCAATTCAGCAACAGGGCCGTGGACACACAGGGGGCAGAGGAGAGACATTGTTAGGGGACAAGAAATATGCAGTGGCAAGTGGCGAGTGCCGCATGGATGTCAGGTTGTTATGCACAATTCAGCTATTACTTACGGTCCAGCTAGTCCTGCCATTGCTCGCTCGTCCTGGTTCCTCCTCGTTCGTCTTCCTGCACGTCTGCACTTCTCCTTCCCCACCGTTGCCTTTGCGGTACATGTACAGGGGTGCCGGAAGGAATTCCCACCATGTATCCATGTACATGAAGTCCCACCATGTATCCATGTACATGAAGTCCCACCATGTCTCCATGTACATGTCCACGGCCACGTCAGCAGTTTGTATAGTACTCGTACCGGAAGGAGTTCCCACGATGTCTCCAAAGGCCTAGAGCGGACGTCTTTGCAGCAATTCTTCTCACCCTGCACATTCACTCCGCCGACACGACAGCGTTTACGGGGCCGTTCCAGGTGCAAAAGGTCCACGTCAGCAGTTCTCAACTATTTCGCGTACGGGATAGTCGCCGCGACAGCGTTTAAGGGGTCGTTCCAGGTGCAAAAGGCATCCATCAATGGCACTTTGCAGTATGGGGTACGGAAAGGGGCCTCCTCGTTCGACTTCGTCGACTTCTGCAGTTCTCCTTCCCGTCAGGGGTACCGAAAGGGGGCTCCTCGCAGTTGTCCTTGCCGTCAGGTCCACGTCATGCAGTTCTCAACTCTTTCGCGTACGGGATAGTCGTCTTTGTCGTACGCGACATCGGCGTTTACCGAGTGTCATTAACACACACACACAGCAGACCGTTGAAGGGGTCACGTGTCAAAAAAGTATCAACAAAGTGTCGACTACGTGTCGACCACGTGTATAGCGGTACACTGATCAGCGGTACACTAATTCTCGTGCCATTCTCGTGTCACAAAACTGGAACATCGAGTATCGGCGTTTACCGAGTGTCATTAGAGAGGTTCTGCAAAACGAAAATGTGTACGAACTTTCGCTCTACGTCACGAAGTGAGAAACTTCGCACGAACTTTCGCAACTTTGGACGCGAAACTTGCAGGGAACGCGAAATGAACTTTCGTAGGAAGTTTCGTGAGATTGGGTCATGTCGTACGTGCACTTGGCGCGTGCAAACTACGAAAATGTGCAGAACACAAAGTTCGTGCGAAAATTCGTACACACTTTCGCAAGGCCTGTCGCGAAACTTCGTTCGAACTTTCGTTGTGCAGAACCTCTCTATTGGCACAAAGCAGACCGTTGAAGGGGTCACGTGTCAAAAAAGTATCAACAACGTGTCGACTACGTGTCGACCAAGTGTATAGCGGTACACTCAGCGGTACACTAATTCTCGTGCCATTCTCGTCACAAAACTGGAACATCGAGTACCAGTATGGAAAGGCTTCAGACAGGAAGCCTTTCCAATATGTAGGACTCAGTGAGTCTAGTCACGTCTCGATGACCGATCACGATCCCCGTGACCAATGAAACAGTCACAAATCCCCGAATTGCTCAAAAAGCAGTCATAAAGTCACACACCAGTTTGAATCCCGATGACCAGTCACAAACTGCCGCGACTTTCTCTGTGAACGGTCACAGGATCCACGTCAAAATATTACGACTCAACTGTAGGCATTGACGCGATCAGCATACATTTTTCCTTCACAGGTAGAATTAGAAGTGAGCAAGAAAGATTTCGATCCACTCTCGATCTCCGCGTAGTTTACTTGTATGTAGCTTGAGTCTGGTGTGTGTGGGCTCCTCTCCAAAACGAAGGGTGGTCGAAAATCTTGCAGGCTTCAGATAGAATCTCTTTTGAGAGGACGTTCTGGCTAGTACATGTAGATTGTGCTATTCATCATATTTGAAGAACAAACTTCGTCGTTCAGAAAAGCTATTTCGGAATATTTTCAGTCCAGTAATTTTTTGCATGCCGATCTTGCTAGAACGGAGGCTGATTTCAACTGATCCAGCATACAAGCAGCACTCGCTTTGTGTTTTTGGAGAGGATGGGTGACAAGATTACGGAGTCAGAAGTGGACAATCACATCGTCGACGATGCAGAGACGAAAATATAATGAAGATGGAAAAGAAAATATGTTCATGTCGACATGTATGTGTAAAATGTTGTACGATTATCGCAAGGCACACAAGGAAGGGAAAGCGAGGATCCGTTCAGAACTGTTTTCTTGTTACAATCATCAGCACAGTGAATCTACAGTCCATTTCAAAACTATAGACGCGTACCTAGGCAAAAACCGTTATGCCAGCATCTATACCACATAAAATCTGTGATCACTTTGTGCATAAATTTTTCCAAATTGGGCGTCTGTTATCCACTCCTTTAGAAAACTATATGAGAGTAATTGTGGAGCGATCCTGAGCAATATTCCGAAAACTATTATCAAAAAGTTCCAGCCAAATTTGAAATATTTCAAAAACCCTACGCGTCTATAGTTTTGAAATGCACTGTACGTAACAATGGAATGGGAACTACTTGAACTAATCTTATATGGACAAATATAAGTGAAAGAAGGTGAAAAAGAGCGAAACAAAAAAGGTGATAATACTACATCTATTCAGTGGGGGACAAGCTCAGCAGGTAAGAACAATGCATATGTGAATCATCAGCATCAGCAAAACAAAGAAAGCAAAGGATAGCACAGCCGATCAGCTAGACTCCCTGCCAGGCCTCACATCCCGTGGAAAGGCACGGAGCCATTAGTCTACAATCTCTCCGGAGCACCCTGATTCCAAGAAAATGGACTCATGAACCCGCATGCCCAACCGTTCTTCCCGCGACAGAAGCCGCCCACCCAGGGACCATTGTTCAAATTACTGCTAACAAATGCACTTGGCTTGCTGAGTAACTTTGGAGAGTTCCAGCACACGGTTATGTCCACCTGCCCGGACATTGCAATCGTCACCGAGACGAAGCTTACCTCTGAGAAGTGTACAGCAATGGATGTCACGCTACCTGGCACCGCCAAACCGCCGAGATCGTACAGCGCAAGGCGGTGACGTCGCCGTCTGGGTACGTTCGGGCCTCGCCTATGGCCACATGGACCAGATAACCCGCGGTGACCTGGAAGTCATAATGGCTAACAGTGCAACTTCATACAGGGTGTCGTGTTACAGTGTGTGCTGCTTATCGGCCAGGCCTGCAGGTTCATGTGCAGACAATGACATCTCCCCCCACTCTCCCTGCTGTTTGCCAACTGCTGTTGTGCACATTGAAGTCCAGGAGCTTGGCGCCTTGCGGTGCTGTATACATGTATGTTCCAGGATTTTTTATTATATTTTTTTTACTAAGTACACAACCTACTCGTCAGAAGGGGAGAAGACAACATGTACAGAGTATCCGGATACTCTGTTGTCTTCTCCCCTGGCCTTCTGACGAGTAGGTTGTGTACTTAGTAAAAAAAATATAATAAAAAATCCTGGAATATATACAGCACCGCAAGGCGCCAAGCTCCTAACTGCCGTGGACTTCAATGTGCACAACAGCAGTTGGCTTCAGACTCAAATCAGAGCAGCAGGACGTTCCGGACGTCTCTAGCTGGCGAAGAGCCCGGTCCCACATGCACTTGAGACGTTGAGTCAGAAGTAAGTTGCGAGTTGCGGATCCGCTGCAGCGGTGTCGCAACAGCGTGTATCACCATGGAAACTGCGAGTAGCGGAACTACTTCCGCCGTGGCGGAAAGTTCAAATCCGCTACTCCAAAATTTTTGGAGCGTATCTCTCCTGCGGAAGTTCCGCTCCTGCGACACTACGACATAGTGAGCGATTTGTGTTGGTCGATTTTATTTTCGATCATGAAGTCACGTGGACAGTTTGACTTTAGTCAGAGCAGCTACGGCTGCAGTTGTACATGTATGTTGAAGTGAAGACTCGTTTGGCCAAGGGATGAAGAGAGATACGGAGCGATAGGTGGATAGCCAAGAAGCTGAAACCGACGGCTGCGGCGTCGGCCAAAGACCAAATCCCGGACCCGTGAGCAGCATGGCCATCATGTAAAACCACGCAGGGGGACCACTGTGATGTAGGTCTGGCAAGAGCGATACATGTACTACTATTACCAGTATCTGTAGCAGTTATCATTGGTTATCGTCGACGTGCTGCTCAACAAGTTCGTACTAGTATTCAGCAACAAAATGTCGCTGTGGTCTCCATTGCCTGTCCACAACGTCTCGCCAATCGACCTCTACCCAACCGAAAATCCATTCTTTCAGATTACTAGTATAGTATACAGAACAAAGACTCAAAGTCAACAATACCGAACCCACGACATGTACATGTAGCTAATGCTTGATACTCAACAAAAACAACGATCTGTCCAACACCTAGTACTAGTATCTACATCAACAGTACATCAGTGCTGCGTTGATGTTGTCGTGATTACATCACGAAGTTGTACATAATATCACGTGTATGTTTGCGTGACGTTATCGTCCACGTAGCATTAGCCCTTTTGTTTGTTTTGATGGCTTTTATGGTTTTACCTAGCTTCTTGATGATCAGAGATTAGAGTAAGTCATGTAGTACTGAATCAATGAGAATTAATCCCAGTCCTTATGAAGTTAGTTATGTTGCAACGTTGTGGAACTAAGAGAGTCTAGACTCTAGTCACAACATAAATTGGTGCCGAAACCATGTCCGAGTATCCAGGGAGTCTCCGAGTTTTAGCAAATAAAATTAGTGCATTGTATTCTACTGTCCACGATGACGATACGAAGTGCCAACGTTTAGTTTCAGAAAGTTGTCCATCTGACGACGCAGACCAGTGGGTCGGGATTCGGACCCAGTTTTGTGAACAGCATAGAGATGCCCTCACGAAGTTGGATGCTGACCTAGATAAGTACGGCGCTGCGTTATACGATTTCGTGGCTAGTGGAGCAACTCAAAAAAAGAAAAAGAAAGAAGATGAAGAAGAGTATGAAAATATGGCCAGTACGTTACCGTCGTACTTCAAAAATCTGTCCCTGCTGAGTGCTCAAGCCAAAAGAGCCACAGCCAGCGCCAGTGCCCAGAACACCAGTACCAGCAGTCAAGCACCTGGAATTGACGTCCAGCAGCTGCTGACAATGCACACCGCAACTCAGCAACAAACACAGCAGTTGCTGTCAGCCATTGGGAAGCACACCAGCACGGTTGGCCAGCTGGCGGCCAACTCGGCACAGCCTGCACAGAGTGCTCATGGATCTGTGAAATTGCCCGTGCTCACAATCAGGAAGTTTGATGGTGACATACTTCATTTCACTGAGTTCATTGACATGTTTCAATCTGCGATCGGTACAAATCAAAGCCTGTCTGCCGTACAGAAACTGTCGTATTTGAGAAGTCATTTGACAGGCATGGCCCTGGATGTTATTGCCGGTATTCCCACCACCGATTCAAATTACCCCGTGGCGTTAGGATTATTGAAGGATCGCTTTGGCAAGAAGGATGCCATCATCGCAGCCCGATACCGCGCAATTACCGAAATGCCAGCGCCATCAAATAAACCTCACATGTTGCGGAGATTTTACAACGAGGTGGAGGCTAATTTGCGCTGTTTGCAAGCGGAAGGTCAAAGTGTGCAACAGGAACTGCTGATTCCTGTCATCACTTCCAAGTTACCAAAGTGCGTCATCGTACAACTTGAGACACAGAAACCCCACAATCAGAGTTGGACTGTTGATGAGCTGCGGAAACAGCTGGGAATCTACCTGGAGGTCCGTGAATCGGCCGAGCGACTGGCAGGAGACACAGCCAGCAAACCAGAGAGCACTCTGCCACGACCACCGCCTGTTTCCGCACAGCCTCATGCTGCCTACTCCCAACCTCCGGCCACGGCAGCCACGTTAGTTAGCTCTGTGCGGCGCGCCACTCCGAGATGCTTCTTCTGCAAGTTGCAACACTTCTCGGACACCTGCCCAACGTTCAACACGGTTTCTACCAGACAGCAGCAGCTACAAGACCACTGCTTTGTATGCTTACGGAAGGGACATTGGGCAAAGGACTGTACTGCTAGAAGACCCTGCTATCACTGCAATCTGTTGACCCATCACCGTGCCCTGTGCCCTCAGAAATTTGGCTCATCACCAGTGTCAGCTGCCGCAAGTACCTTCTATCCTACTCAGCAGCAGCAAGGGCCACAGAAACATACTACCGCTACGGTGCACGTCCAGTCCAAAGGTGTGAATCTCCCAACCGCCATCGCAACTGTCGCCGGGCAAGGCAACATCTCAGACTG